TTATTTTGTAAAACTAAAAACAAGCACAGTTATTTCTCCATTGTAATCAGATACGTAAGAAAGACAAAATTCCAGTTCGTTCCGGCTCTAAATGATTTTTCATGCCTTAACTGTTTTTCTTGTAACTTCTGCTTTAGCTCTTGTTGCTTTTTTGAGGACATATCGTGATCTTCAGTTTTCTTTTTTTCAGTTTCCGATTGTATTAAAAACATGAATTATCTATATTATATATATATATATATTTTTTTTTCATCCTCCATGGATTTATTGTAAATTTTTTTATTTTTCGGATAAGTAATCCAAATCCTGTACAGATGTAATGAAGTATTCTACTTTCCAGTCTTGTTGATAGGTTCATTCTTGCGAAGATATTTATTACTACTAGAGCAATGAAAACATATTTCTATTTTAGCATTTTATTAAAAGCCACCTTTATTATCTTAGATTTTTAGATGAAAATTCTACATTTCTAAGGTGCTAATAGAAAAAGTAATGCTCAGTTTCGGTTTCTGCTCCGTCAAAACAATTTACAAGCTTTTCTTGCTCATATCCGTATAGGTTGCTCTTATTTGTTCCATATTCCCAAACATGTACAAATTTCAGCTATTACAGATTTCATTCTACTATTTAAAAAGTAGGTTTCATTGCAAGTGTTTTTTGCATACAGTAAATTTATTAATTATACAGCCTACGAATTAATCACATAAGTTTTAAAAATGGAACTTTTACGTGATAGAATATCTGAAATTTCGATTTTAAATTTCCGGCTGTTAGTTGTTTAAATATGTTTTCAGGATTAAAAGATGTTATAGCTGAGTGAAATGATAATTTTCAAGTTCTTTTTGTTTTGGGACAGTGATAATTTTTAGTAGAAATTCTAGTAATGTTTCACTTCACCGTACCTACTACCTGTGTAAAACTTTTGCAAAAATACAAAATAAATTATTATCATCAATCATTCATTAATTGTCCTGAAAAACAATTTCAACGCTTTTCTTTCACAATATTTTTTTGCTTTTGTGTTATTCAACTGAATTTTTAGTCATCAAGTTTATTTTCCTAAATCATTAGAATATTTTTGATGTATTGCAGGGAATTAATGTCAGTCATCGTTTGTCTATCATCGAAAAATGTTCTGTCTTTTTTCAGAACAGTTTTTATTGGTGATAAAAGACAATTCATTGAATTTTAATTGATTTTTCTGTCGTCCATAGATTCCTAGCTTATTTGAATTTGCTACAAATAGATCATATTTGTATTAAATTTATTTTGTCATTCAAGCATTTTTTTCTTCCTTTTATATTATTTCATGTATTTGCTATCATATTTTGCATAGCATAAATTATATGATTAATTTTGTGTCACTCAAATAAATTGTTCATATTAGAAAATAAATCAGTTTTATCGCAAAATTTATGTGAGGTCATGAATTTTACTTCAAACTAGTAATTGATTGATAAAATCAAAGACAAGAGAAAAATTGTGTATAAAAGCTTTGAAAGTTAAATTACCATGGGTGATATAATGTTTGAGAAAATTTAAAGAAATAGTTTTTTATCAGCTCCTAATTTGTAATATTTAACTAATACTTTAATGCGGTATACTACTGTATTGTTTAGTAATAAGCTATTTTAAATTAGAGATTGGGTTTTGAAAAGTTATTGATTACTGTGAGATTGTCCGATGTTATCTTAAATTATGAAATGAGTACAAGTGAGGTTTATATTTACTAAATTAAGATAATTAAAAGGAAAGCTTATTCAGAAATGTTTTTTCAGTTTTATTCCTATTTCACTGCATTCATTTTATATTAATGAGCAACCGTTTGTCGATTTTATCATTGTACAAACGAATTTTACGGAAAGCTGATAGTTTCGTGTACACTGACAAGGAGTATTTCTGTGAACGGGTTTATCGAGAATTTTTTTTCAACAAAAAAGCTACGGGCAAAAAAGTGGAACAACTTGTGAAGGTTTCAAATTTTTTATATTTTCAAATAAAAAAATCTAGCTGGTAATTATTGCTCGTCAGGTATGCTTTAATGCTGCAGGTTAATAATTTTTTGTCGACATTTAAATTATGTATAAACTAAAGAAAATGGAAAGTAAAGGTATGAAGGACAAAAAATCATCTGCTTCCTATTTAGAATTGGAAATGAAGGAATAAAGGTATAAAGGATTAAGAAATCAGCTGCTTCCTTTCTTTCGAAGCAGCTGATTTCTTAGCGAGTCTTTCATTACCTATTTTAGCTTAATCTATTTAAATTTAAAGAACTTACAGATATAAATTTATGAAATTATTGGTGTAGGCTAGCATTTTTATTGCAATTTAAAGAGTTTTTGTTTTATTAATGGAACATTTTAGCATTGAATAATATAAGCATCCCTTTATGGTGATAGAAAGGAATGCTTTTACCAATATTACTACATTGCTTAGTTATATCAGGATCTTCTTTACTTAAAGGGTTTTGTCACATTTGCAAACATTTTATATAAAAAATGTGATATAACTACAGAAATCCTTCTTTGTCTATCCTAGAAAGCTGAACAACTATTGAAATCGGATCGGTTTTGTTGAGGTGTCAATTATGGTTTGCATATTGGGAATTGAAAGCAGTGCTAATAAAGTTGGTGTTGGGATTATTCGTGATGGCGAGGTATCTGTATATTATTACTAACCTTCAGTTCTGTGTAATTTTAATGATTGTACTAATTTATTGGCATGCACTTATATATTTATACTTAGGTATTATCAAACCCTCGGGCTACTTACCATGCTCCATTTGGCCAAGGATTTCGACCACCCGAAACAGCAGCACATCATAGACAGAATATTGTTCGTATTGTTATTGATGCTTTACAACAAGCAAATATTAAGGTATTATACAAAAGTGTTGCTTGTACTATAATTTGCTAGTCGTATGCCATCGACATTTTTTTGTTTTTTATCATCATTATTTTTATCCTTGTATTATCATTATTTTATTGACTGGTTAAAAAATTGTAACTACTTTGTCATTATACTACAAAAACATCGAAACTTTGTTGTGTAATAAGTATTAATTCGCTAAACGAATTTGTTTATCAAAAGTTTAAAATTATCGTTGAAACGCCCTACAGAGTGTTCTTTGCACTAATTATATTGGAGTTGAAAATAGTTTGACACTTTTTTATAAATATGATCAATAATTGACATTAGTTAATATACGGTGTTGAAATTTTATTTCAGGATCCACAAAATGAAATTGATGGAATTGCTTACACAAAAGGACCAGGAATGGGTGCTCCACTGCAAGTTGGTGCAACCGTAGCGCGTACATTGTCGCAGTTGTGGTCAGTCCCACTTTATCCAGTGAATCACTGTATCGGTCATATTGAAATGGGACGTCTTATCACGAAAGCGGAGAATCCAGTGGTGCTGTATGTTAGTGGAGGTAATACACAGGTATGTTAAACTAACGATGATTATTTAGCTAATTTTCTTCACTTTACATTGAATTTGATCAAATATCAGTAGAATAATATTCTTCTATTCTAGGTCATCAGTTATTCTAATCAACGCTACAGAATATTTGGTGAAACATTAGATATTGCTGTTGGTAATTGTTTGGATAGGTATATTTAATTGCATTTTTGAATTAAATTCGCTTTAAAAATTTCAGTTCATATTAATTTTTGAATATATTTCTTGCTTATGATAAATTTTGGGAAGGTGTATGAAATCAGTTATACCTCCTCAGATTTGCGCGATTAGTGGAACTGCCAAATGATCCGTTTCCGGCTTACAATCTGGAACAGCTTGCTTTGGAAGGAAAGAAACTTATTGCTCTACCATATACAGTTAAAGGAATGGATTTATCACTTTCCGGCATACTTTCCTATGTCGAACGTAAAGGTTTGCAAATGATTCGAGCTGGTGAATGTACTGCAGCTGATCTTTGTTTTTCTTTGCAGGTTAGGAGGGAAGTTTTATTCATCTTCATGTGTAACATTTGCTCGAATAACAACAGATTTATTTTATTTCGAAATTCGATTTTTTAAAGAAATTTAATTTTTTAAAGAAAAATAATTCCCAGAAGTTTTTCATTAATTCTGTATTCTTCATTAAAAGTATTTTATGTTTTGAAATTTCTCAGGAAACAATATTTGCTATGCTAGTGGAAATCACAGAAAGAGCAATGGCACATTGTGGTAGTAACGAAGTATTAGTCGTTGGTGGTGTTGGTTCCAATAGGCGTCTCCAAACGATGATGTCAATTATGGCCGAACAACGGTAAATGTTTGGTTGATAATGATGTGAAAAATATGAGGAATGGTTTTAGGATGAAATATGCATGCAACAAAATCTTTTTTAGGGGTGCGAAATTGTTCGCGACAGATGAAAGATTTTGTATTGATAACGGTGCGATGATTGCCCAGGTTGGCTGGCATATGGCAAATGCTAAAATGATAATTGCTCTTGAAGAGTGTAGCACTACGCAGCGTTTTCGTACTGATCAAGTTGATATCGTTTGGCGCAACTGATAGGATTATAGATGAATAATCAGTTATCTCAGGAATCTCTTGAGAAGGGATTTTCTTGTATTATGACTTTATTAATTTTCTGTATACTTGTTACATTATTTTTAAACTTTAAAATCCAAAAATTGTTACATTATTTTTAAACTTTAAAATTAAACTTTAAAATAAATTTATTGAAATTCAGATCTGATTTTCTCCTTTCTCCTAATTTGGTTGATTTCTGAATACATTTGAAACGAACACTCAAATGCATTTTTTCTTACCATGTATACGTCAAAGTAGTACGACTCAGAAATACTGCTTTATTTACATTGATTTATTCGTTTTTTATAATTTTTTTATAATTAAATGCAAATTTGGCTTTAAAATGCAATTTAATTTTCATTGCTGGTATAAATATGCAGTTCAGTCATACAGTTTTTGCCATTATTTATTAGAAAGAGTTTTTATCTTGTGCCGCTCTCTATTTGGTCGTGCTAAATGATTGATTTTGGGCAGTTTTCTGCAAATAATTCTATTCGGAATATCTCTGTAACTTCGCTTCTTAATTGTAAGTCTTACCTCTCTGCTTAGTCTGGAATAATTATTACGGAATACAGTTTCATCTATTGGATTGCATTATTAAATACAATAGATTTTTACAAAATATATTTACGATTTTCTGTGGAATCATAATGCTGTAAAAATTTGTTTTCGGTTATTTTTTTTTAGCGGTTATTTCGAAGTAATATTATTAATCAATTTAATGGTATCGTATTTGTTTGTTGTGAAGGCTTTATGAATGTATTTTTTATCCTTATTAGGTACTCCAAAAGTCACTATAGATTTACCATTCATCTTTGCGTGCATATCTTCGAATTATAGTTTCCTTGTAAAATGAATGAATAGTGTCTCCAAATTTATTTCACATATATAAACTAGTTATTGGTAAGCTTGTTTCATTTGTCGTATTTTTAGTTCGATCATGTGTAGAAGCAGCTGACCGTTATTATTTTTGGATGCTTGTTCTTCTAATCCTTCCAGCTGTTATCAGTTGTTGTTCACTAGCAATATCACTTATCACCATTATTCATGTCCGTCGGTTGAAAAGTGTTACAGAAGCTATCACTAGCAGGTGAATATGTTATATTTTTCGCATTGAAATAGTAAAATTATTTTTTTGTGTTCAGGTCATCTATAGTTTATGAAAGTTTTTGCGCTTTCCATTAATTTTCCTAATTTCGATTATCTAGCTTTTTATTAAGTTGATGTTTCTGGTTCATGTGGCAGTTTTTGGTTTCGAAAATTACAAGTGTATTCATTTTTCATTTGATAGCTTTTACATTATCTCTTCCAGTTATTTTGAATTGCTGTTTTTGTTCATTTTTTGAAATGTTTTTCACAAAGTTGAACTTTATTATAATTATTAAAAATTTTGATATTTAAAATCAAGAAAAAAAAAATCTCGAACTTGTGCTGAGTGATTGAAAATGAACCATATTGAATATGGTCGAAGATTTATTTTCAAAACATTCGAAAAAGTATTCTTGCTTTTAGTACCCATTGGTTGGCAAGGACGGCGAATCGAATTGGATTGGGTGTTAGTGCCCAAAAAGCACTAATGGAATATGCGAAAAAGAAAAATTTGTTAAAATTAATTCCAAATACTGGGCCTAAAATTAGTAATTTAAGTGTTCCTCAACCTCATAATTCTGATGAACAATTATAATGCATTTGATAGTAACCATAGTGCAAATTTAACTAATGATGAATTTTACTATATAAGATTTTCCATCATTTATGTCGTATAGTATGTTTTTAGACTTTATAATAGAAGAAAAATGTTCAAGAAATTCACTCGTTTTCTTTTTCTTTTTAAATTCAATTGCTTGTTTGATTTTTTGTTTTTATTTTCCTCTTTTTTCATCCCTTTTCTGTAATTACATTTGAAAATTTTGTTTGTTAATGTAACAAACAAAATTTTGTCGATGTTTTATTCAATTGTTTATTTTTTTCTTTCTCATACAATAGTAATAAAATATAATTTCTTGATAATAAAAAGTACTATTACTATTTTATTCAATATTTACATTCGTTTTGCTTCTTTGGAACTCCGAAAAACTCTTCCAATAAATAATAGGTTAATTATATTTGTTCATGTCAAATTTCTGATATTATTTTCGTCCTTAATCGATTGTAAGTATATTCTTTGTTTGTGTAATCTTTTCGGATTTGTAATAATTTGAAAGATGAATCTGTTCAAATGTTAAAATTTCCTGTCCTTGCCTATAGTACAGATCATTATCTAATACGATGTTTGATATTTCATTAACTGTTACCAGAATGTGCAATGCTTAATATTTGTCTAAATGTAATCTTCAGGATAGATAATTAATTTATAACATAGTTAGGTCATAGATAAGTAATCTATAAAAGAATTAAATCATTTGGTCTGATACTACCGTAATTGGTTGTTTATTTTATCTAGCTAATGAATTCTAGAATGTTTAACTCAGTCTTACTTTATTTTTTTTATCCGGTGATATTTTTCATTTCTAATTTCTCTCTTACTCAGTTCCATTTCCAATGAAATTTCCAGAAACACATGTTTCAATTCGTATGTTAGCTAAGAAAAGAAGTTCAATTCATTCAGTTTCTTTAGCACAAAGTAAGACTCGATTTATACAGTATTTTGTTGTATTTTTTTTTTTTTTAAATATATATTTAGAAACAAAGTAAGATTTAATGGAAATGATGCATTTTATCAGTCCGTATACTTTATTTCACTAGATTTCACTTACGTAAGTGTCAGTGTTTTGCTATTGTTTAAAGATTCATTGCTAGCAAAACATAATTAATAGTTATTAGTGCCACTTAAGTAGTGATATTAATTATCTGTCAGTATTCAGTTACTAAGATAGAAAAAGGAATGAGAAAAACATGATTGAATAGTTCAATTCATAATTATTGGTAAAGACTGATAAAAAATAATGGAAGGTCAGTAGGCATTTTTTTCGAGAATGTTTATTGTGTAATATTCATGAGTTATGGAATAATTGTCCTTCAGATTTTAAAATAAACAAGTTTTTTTTTCTTAATTTAAACATTTTTCATTAAGCATTAGTCATCTTTTCATTCTTAATTTTTTTGGCTATCTTTGAAATTAGATTTTGAAAGTAAGTCTTAAGTTTATTTTATGTTCGGATTTCATTTTTGAAAGGAATTTCGATATTTTCCAGATGTAACTATAACTGATATTTCTCGTTTTGCTAAAATGAGTAACGACAACAACTTATTTCAGTGCCATTGCAGATGACATTTAATCGAAAGAAAGTTGAAGGACTAAATGAACTGAATACATTATTGAAGGATCTCAAATGTCGTGCCGTTATTTTGTTCAGCGGTTCAAAAGATGGTGGCAAAAGTTGGTGTCCAGATTGTGTTCAAGGTTTTTTTTTTCATTCCTCAATGTATTTCTATTGAATTAAAAGCCTTCTCCAGATCTTTTCTTTTTAAAAATTTGAAGTTTCAAATTTGTCCATTATTTTAGCGGAACCTGTAATTGAGAAAGTGATTGAACAAATTGTATCTTCTAATGATACGGACATAGATTTGACATTTATCGAATGCGCTGTTGGACCACGGACGTGGCAAGTTTATCCTCCACTTTTTATTCCATTAATAACAGTTTCTATATCCTTTCCGAAAGTAAAATTTTTTTTTTTTAAAGAATTTACAAAATTTTCAAATTTGCTTTACAAATACATACGTTTGCACAAGCAAAATATTTGCAATTTGTTAATGTAGTTATGACAATTTTAGCTGGAAAGATCAAACAAATGCATTTCGAACTGATCAGAGATTTAAACTAAAAGAAATTCCCACATTACTGGATTATAGCAATAAGGTTTAATTTCTCGTTTTTAGGAAATATCACAAATTTTAGTGGACATTTATTATACAGATGACAGATTCTCAAATCTTAAAAAAATTGGTGGAATAGTTATCTTTGCTAACTTTCAAACATTTAAACATATCTACTATATATGTATATATATTGCATGTGCTACCTATTTATTATATACGTTTTTAGTTTTCTCTATTTAGGCAAAGAGGTTGTCTGGTGAACAGTGTGCTAATGAGCTGTTGGTGAAGGAATTATTCCTTGAAGATTAATTAATTGATAATATTGTTATAAATTTTTGACATTCCAAATGATGAAACAATATGAATTTCAAATGTGCATATGAATGTCAAGTTGTATGGATTGTGATAATTTGTAACCAAACTTTTATAGTTTATTTTGTCATTGAAAATTGAATTCCTATAAACAAGATCACTTGCAAACTTCGCTTTCCTAATTTTTATTACTGTCTGTTTTTTTGGTCATTCATTAAAAACTGCTTTACATCATCCACTAGTTTCAAATCGCTCAGTTCCTCACCACACATTGGGCAACCTTCTTGTTCATCCTTGAGTCTGAAATTAATCAAATATATGATTTCATTATCATTAAAAAAAATAAATGGGCAGTTTCGTGTAGGTTTTCTTCTTTATGATCGTGTAATTTGATCACAAACGTAAATACATGTAGCAATACTAAAAAGCAAATTAAACGAAAAAATTTAGATGAAAATTTTTACTTGAAATTCCAAAATCGAGATGCAAACTTTCGTCATCACTTCTTTTTTATTTTATTATAAAATGAGAGAAATCACTCGGCGAATGAAATTTTATGATAACCTTTTTAATTCAGAATAAAAACCAGGGAAGCCACATGATGGGCATGTTGTAAAATCATTCGTGACCAAGTGTAAGCCCTGCAAAGCATAAACAATGTGCGACTTTTTTCACAAAATGAAGATTTCAAACAAAGTTTGTAATTTCTGGGAATAAACAAAGTCGGTTTCTTACTGTAACAATGCAGTAAGGAATCAAATTTTTGCATGAAGCGCAAACGAGTATCGATTCTTCCGTTGGGTTATCACAGTACGGACAACATGTCTTTGGTTCTTCTGGATCTGGTAATTTATCTGATTTCCTGAAATTGAAAGACTAATTTAATTGAAATAAATTACAAGCAATTCACGTTTGGACTACTATAGTGTTTCTACGAAATGTCGAAATACACAAGAACACCACATTTTGAGAATGAAGAATTACTGTGCTAAATGCATATACGGTAAAAGCTTGCTTACATAAGCTGTTTATCAGTTGATCATTTAACTATCAGAACTACCAATCCATTCCATTTTACAGTTATTTTTTTCTTCCAATTCTTAACTTCATTTATTTATTTTCAAATTGAAGATTACCTTACAACAGCTTCAATTTTTTTGCGGTATTTCTCGTCAATACTCTTTCGATTGCAATCTTTTAGAAGCTCAACAGCAAATTTAAATGCTGATTGTTTAAGGCCTGCTTTGGTACATTCAATAACAGTAGTTGTAAGAATAGATACAACATCTGTAAATGTACTGCTTTATAAGCATTTTTTTTATTTGTTATTTCTATGCTAATTCTTTCTTTCCTGTTTCATGTTTTGAAAATTGGATAACATTTAAGATAGAAGTATCGAAAAAGTCAAAATAAAGCAGCAGTCGAAAAGATGAAAGAGTATTTTTAATTTGTTAATATAACTTTAATATTAAGAAAATAACGTAGTTTTTTCTTTTCACATTAAAATTTTATATTAAATTAACAGAGAAGATAACTTGTTATGAATTTTTATGTTTGGGAAATTAATCCGAATAATTCGCATATCGAATTTTCTTATAATATATCAACATTAACTCCCTTATTTTTCTTTTTTTTAAATTGAAAAATAATATTGAATTTCTAACGTGCTGGAAAATGGCTGATACTACCGGCCACTCTTATTAACATACGTGCAGCTTTCATATGTTCACCACGTTTCACCAAACTCTATTTAAAAACAAAAGTCATATTAGGATAATATTTAATATTAACCAAAAAAAATTCTAATTTTTTGCTTGGAAGAACTGAGATATCGAAAGGGAAAGAAAAAGAAATCAAAACCCCATCTCTTCTGCAACTTTTTGTTTTTAAATCGTTTTTTTTTTTTTTTTGATAATTCTTCATTTTCCTGAAATAAGTATCATAACTTATTGAATAAATTATAAAATAAGCATCTAAAACTAAAGTGTTTTTTTTACTGATGCTGTAGCCGATATTGCAAGATAAAGTTATGTAGTTTAAAATAAAAAAGAGAAAAATCATTGTCCAAAGTTTACCTTTATTATGAGGTAACTGTGTAGTAACATGAGGTTATTTTGCACCTCAAATGGCACTTTGATTCTTTCATTTTGTAATTCTTGATACATGCCAAACAATAACTTATGTGCAGTACGATATGAACCATTTGCTTGCTCTTCGGTGGCTATCACAACCGCTGTTTTCGCTGCTTCACGGTACATTTTCATTGAAATATAGTATTTAAAGAGAAATTTTGGATTCTAAAAATTAAAAAAACATAGTATGCAACTTTTTTTAAACCTTCAAGGAATGCTTTGGAGATTTCGAAATATTGACAATCGATATTGAATGTTTAATTTTTCCCACAAATTAGTACATGGATTTGATAAAACTTTCATATGATTTTTCATAGTTCAAGTCTTAAATTTATAAGAACCATAATTGGAACATCAGGACTAGTATAATTGATAATTGAAATGCCTAATAGTAAGATTTAATTTTCTATATCATCAGTGAAATCAAAAAAAAAAAAAAAGAAGTGATACAAAAGAAAAAATGAGAAGAGACGGAAATTTAAGACATACCTTAGGAATACCATCAATTTCACCAAGCAAATAATCAATCATATGAGAATTTAGGTCAGGGTTTCGTGCTTCTACTACACATGCTATTGCCGTACTTATTGCCTTCGTATCTTCACCGTTTGTAAGCAAGTAATCCAATGCCTAAAATAATATTCATGCAAATTTAAATATCTTAATTAATTGCAATAAATCATCACTTATATCTAACTTAATAGAAACGATGGACTCATACTACGAAATTTGATTACAGTTATTTTGAAAGTTAGATGTTAAAATAATTTCAGATAATTTAAACTATGTCTTTTTCATATACAAGCGAAATGTTTCACAATTATAATATTAATGCAATAGACTTTTGATATATTTATCATTCTTGTTAAAATTGTGAGAATTATTTCGTCATTTTGTTATGAATCACTTTCTGGCGAGTATTCCCCAACTAGTTAAGTAATCCAAGCATTGAGATGGAGAATATGATGAAAAGATGAGAAAGATGAACATTAGCATATTTACAAATTTTCGAATCAAAAAAATAAATTCTCGATTTTCATCAACTAATACTGTGAAAAAAGAGATTGCAATTCTTTTTTTTTTCTTTTATTATGAGGCAAAAAAATATCAAAAACCTTCGAATATTGCCCAGCTTTGTAGTAAAAAAATCCAGCTTTCTGTGAATTCATATTCTTTGCATAATAATCAGCCAACTGCAAAAACACATCCACCGTTCCATCATCTTCAACAGCATCAGCAAAAATATCCATCTTTTGTTCTGTTTCTGCCAAATGAAATGCTTCCTGAAAATAACCAGAGGATAAACGGTCGAACTGTGAAATCTCTCTCTTGAAGATCTCAATGGTAAACTTTACTTGGATATAGTATTCACTAAATGGTGGAAAATTGTGAATACAGTTTTTTTCCGAGTGGTAAGAAAACTATTTCCGAAGAAAAAACAGATCAGCACTGGATAAAATTTTACTACTACTTATGTGTTACTTGAAGTAATAGCTTCTGTGGTAAGTTAAATTCTTGGGATTATTAGACAATTCCAAGATTCTACATTTTACACGTTAGAAGACTTTAAGAATTCACCTGTTGACATTGAGAAAGTACCAAAAATTGGATAGCTGAATCTTGATCTCCAAGTTTGGTGAAAAATCTAAAAAAGAGAATAAATCGGAAACTAATAGAAAAACATACGATCATAATGTACTGATAGGAATATTCATTAAAAATGTTAGAATTATCAAGGAAAAATTACAAAAAAAGAACATAGAATCTACTTTGCAACAAGTCTTGCTCCTTCAACGCTTCTACTTTCCCGCACAATACATACTGCTTCTTCAGGCTTATTCAAATGCTCTAACAGAAGTCTTACTAAGTTGTCGTAATCTCGAGCATTTTTGTAAGCCTGAAATTTAATTTAACTTTCATAACATCAAACATCAATACGATTAAAAATAATTTTAATGAAGACCTTGTCATAATTTAGAAGGAATTCAAAGAAAAAAATATTTGCAACGAATGAAAAAAAACTTTACTAAAATTTTGCTAAAACTTTACCATTGCAGCTTGTTTGAATTTTTTCTCTCTTTCCATCACTTTGCCATATGCCGTATGGATTTTTGGCGAGTGAATTTTAGGTAAAAGGGTGCTCACCTTAGTCCTATAATAAACCATAAAGGTAATAAAATCTTACCAAATTCTTTAGTTTTAATCCAAAACATTAAAGTGACAAAAAATTTAATAATAACATTTAAAGACAAAACAGATAGGAAAGAGCTTGAAACTAAATTTTAACAGAATTTACCAATTCTTTGCTTTTAGTGAAACTGCAGCAGCTCGATCATAAAAATGCCCAAGTTCATACAAATATGCTGCATCACTATACTGCTATAAAATCATTATCTTCTAATTATTTTTCTAGAAATGTACAGAAATCAAATTTCTTTCTGGCCCCCTAATCGCTGTAATTAAACCTTTATCTGTTCTAGAATTGTCGCACAATCGCGCTTAACAGCTCGTCCTTCGATACTTGCAGCAATTTCAATTCCTCTACAAAAATAAATTTGATTCTTTAAATAGGTGAATTTGTATATGCATATATGGAAAGTATAATACATACAAGAACAAATATGTATAACTAAAAAGCAAAAAAATCTCTTTAATTAGTACTTACTTCCGAATATCTCCTGTGCGAATAGACATTCGAGCAATGCCAGAGTTACACATATTGTTATGTTCCAAAACCAACTTATATTTAAAAACAAAACTTTAATATGCATTGAAATGGAATACGAGATCGAAGTAGAAATCAAGCCATTTTTTAAAGGAAAACTATCCAACATCGACTAGTCAAGTAGCAGGAAGCATAATATA